TGTTGCTGCTGGTGTTGTGTTGCTGCTGCTGGTACAGTTGTGTGTTGCTGCTGGTGCAGTTGTGTGTTGTTGCTGGTACAGTTGTGTGTTGCTGCTGCAGGTGTTGTGTGTTGCTGCTGGTGTTGTTGCTGTGGTGTTGTTGCTGGTTGTGTTGTTGCTGCTGGTGTTGTTGCTGCATGTGTTGTTGCTGTTGTGTTGTTGCTGCTGGTGTTGTTGCTGTGTGTTGTTGCTGCAGTGTGTGTGTTGCTGCTGGTACAGTTGTGTGTTGCTGCTGGTGTTGTTGCTGTTGTTGTTGTTGCTGCAGTTGTGTGTTGCTGCTGGTACAGTTGTTGCTGCTGCTGTTGGTGCTGTTGTGTTGTTGCTGCTGGTGTTGTTGCTGTGTGTGTTGCTGCTGCAGTTGTGTTGTTGCTGCTGGTGTTGTTGTTGCTGTTGCTGGTGTTTGTTGTGTGTTGTTGCTGCATGTGTTGTTGCTGTTGTGTTGTTGCTGCTGGTGTTGTTGCTGTGTGTGTTGTTGCTGCTGGTACAGTTGTTGCTGCTTGTGGTGTTGCTGTGTGTTGTTGCTGTACAGTTTGTGTTGTTGCTGCTGGTACAGTTGTGTGTTGTTGCTGCTGGTACAGTTGTGTGTTGTTGCTGCTGGTGTTGTGTGCTGCTTGTGTTGGTACAGTTGTGTTGTTGCTGCTGGTGTTGTGTGCTGCATGTGCTGGTACTGTTGTGTGTTGTTGCTGCTGGTGTTGTGTGCTGCTGCTGCTGGTGCAGTTGTGTGTTGCTGCTGGTACAGTTGTGTTGTTGTGTTGTTGCTGCTGGTGTTGTTGTGTGTTGTTGCTGCTGCAGTTGTGTGTGTTGTTGCTGGTACTTGTGTGTGTTGCTGCAGGTGTTGTTGCTGTTGTGTGTTGTTGCTGCTGGTGTTGTTGCTGTGTTGTGTTGCTGCTGCTTGTGTGTGTTGCTGCTGGTACAGTTGTGTTGTTGCTGCTGGTACAGTTGTGTGTTGTTGCTGGTACAGTTGTGTGTTGTTGCTGCTGGTACAGTTGTGTGTTGTTGCTGGTGTTGTTGCTGTGTTGTTGTTGCTGTACTTGTGTGTGTTGCTGCTGGTACAGTTGTGTGTTGTGCTGTTGGTGCAGTTGTTGTTGCTGCTGGTGTTGTTGTGTGTTGCTGCTGCTGGTGCTGTTGTGTGTTGCTGCTTGTGTTGTGCTGGTTGTGTTGTTGCTGCAGGTACAGTGTTGTTGCTGCAGGTGTTGTGCTGTTGTGTGTTGCTGCTGGTACAGTTGTGTGTTGTTGCTGTACAGTTGTGTGTTGTTGCTGCTGGTACAGTTGTGTGTTGTTGCTGCAGGTACAGTTGTGTGTTGTGTTGCTGGTACAGTTGTGTGTTGTTGCTGCTGGTACAGTTGTGTGTTGTTGCTGCTGGTACAGTTGTGTGTTGTTGCTGCTGGTACAGTTGTGTGTTGCTGCTGGTACAGTTGTGTGTTGTTGCTGCAGTTGTGTGTTGCTGCTGGTACAGTTGTGTGTTGCTGCTGGTACAGTTGTGTGTTGCTGCAGGTACAGTTGTGTGTTGCTGCTGGTACAGTTGTGTGTTGCTGCTGGTACAGTTGTGTGTTGTTGCTGGTACAGTTGTGTGTTGCTGCTGGTACAATCACATAATAGTGGCAGTGTTATAGTTCCACATGAGCGGGTGTCTGGTGGTTGTAAACACTAGGGGGTATAACGAGTTGTTATGAGGTATGTTGCCAGTTGTGGTAAAGGCCTGGAGTCAGATTCACGAAGCACTTACGCAAGCACTTACGAACGTGTACATCTTTCCTCAATCTTTGACGGCTTTGCTTACATTTATTAAACAGTTTACAAGCATGAAAATTTGCCAATCAACTGTTGTTATTGTTATAAACAGCCTCCTGGTGCTTCGGAGCTCATTAACTGTTTAATAATTGTAAACAAAGCCGCAAAATATTGAGAGAGGATGTGCAGGTTCGTAGGTGCTGGCGTAACTCCTTCGTGAATCTGGTCCCAGTTTGTTGAATTAGTTCGTAAAGTAAAGCGTTATTAATCATTTTTATTATAAAATAAAGAAGATATTCTCACCTGTTTATCCCTGAGTGTTGAAGGACCTCTGTCAGCCCCCCCCCCCATCCCTGGCGTTACACCTGCATAGGGCACAACAGGTGCTACCCACTAGCCCTAACCCCCCCCCCCACGAACCAGATGCTGTGTATATCCTTTTCTTTTACATATATTATTTTCTACTACAGACGTGGCCGGACATTTACAATGCTAACCAGGATATATATACATTTTCTTCTGTCCTCCATAGACAGAGTTGGAAACCTGTTAAACATATAGTTCAGTGATTTATTAAGCAATCAACCACCAGGAGGTGATTGTAGTGCTTTTAATATGTTAATTTAAGCTACTGTGTGTGTGCTATTGTCCCTTGTGCTCTCTGGGCCATTGTCCAGCCTGGTACCTTGAGCCTCAATCAGCATTTATATTAATCAAAGATTATGGAAGTCCATGTGTCCTTCAGTACCTGGGAGCGTGACCGTGGGCGGGGACGTACCTGGGAGTGTGACCGTGGGCGGGGACGTACCTGGGAGTGTGACCGTGGGCGGGACGTACCTGGGAGCGTGACCGTGGGCGGGGACGTACCTGGGAGTGTGACCGTGGGCGGGGACGTACCTGGGAGTGTGACCGTGGGCGGGACGTACCTGGGAGCGTGACCGTGGGCGGGGACGTACCTGGGAGTGTGACCGTGGGCGGGGACGTACCTGGGAGTGTGACCGTGGGCGAGACGTACCTGGGAGCGTGACCGTGGACGGGACGTACCTGGGAGCGTGACCGTGGGCGGGGACGTACCTGGGAGCGTGACCGTGGACGGGGACGTACCTGGGAGCGTGACCGGGGGCGGGACGTACCTGGGAGCGTGACCGTGGGCGGGACGTACCTGGGAGCGTGACCGTGGGCGGGGACGTACCTGGGAGCGTGACCGTGGGCGGGACGTACCTGGGAGCGTGACCGTGGGCGGGGACGTACCTGGGAGCGTGACCGTGGGCGGGACGTACCTGGGAGCGTGACCGTGGGCGGGGACGTACCTGGGAGCGTGACCGTGGGCGGGGACGTACCTGGGAGTGTGACCGTGGGCGGGACGTACCTGGGAGCGTGACCGTGGGCGGGACGTACCTGGGAGCGTGACCGTGGGCGGGACGTACCTGGGAGCGTGACCGTGGGCGGGGACGTACCTGGGAGCGTGACCGTGGGCGGGGACGTACCTGGGAGCGTGACCGTGGGCGGGGACGTACCTGGGAGCGTGACCGTGGGCGGGGACGTACCTGGGAGCGTGACCGTGGGCGTGACGTACCTGGGAGCGTGACCGTGGGCGGGACGTACCTGGGAGCGTGACCGTGGGCGGGGACGTACCTGGGAGTGTGACCGTGGGCGGGGACGTACCTGGGAGCGTGACCGTGGGCGGGACGTACCTGGGAGTGTGACCGTGGGCGGGACGTACCTGGGAGTGTGACCGTGGGCGGGACGTACCTGGGAGCGTGACCGTGGGCGGGACGTACCTGGGAGTGGGAGCGTGACCGTGGGCGGGACGTACCTGGGAGTGTGACCGTGGGCGGGACGTACCTGGGAGTGTGACCGTGGGCGGGACGTACCTGGGAGTGTGACCGTGGGCGGGGACGTACCTGGGAGTGTGACCGTGGGCGGGACGTACCTGGGAGTGTGACCGTGGGCGGGGACGTACCTGGTTAGCGTGACCGTGGGCGGGACGTACGTGGGAGTGTGACCGTGGGCGGGACGTACCTGGTTAGCGTGACCGTGGGCGGGACGTACCTGGGAGTGTGACCGTGGGCGGGGACGTACCTGGGAGCGTGACCGTGGGCGGGGACGTACCTGGTTAGCGTGACCGTGGGCGGGGACGTACCTGGGAGCGTGACCGTGGGCGAGACGTACCTGGGAGTGTGACCGTGGGCGGGGACGTACCTGGTTAGCGTGACCGTGGGCGGGACGTACCTGGGAGTGTGACCGTGGGCGGGACGTACCTGGGAGCGTGACCGTGGGCGGGACGTACCTGGGAGCGTGACCGTGGGCGGGACGTACCTGGGAGTGTGACCGTGGACGGGGACGTACCTGGGAGCGTGACCGTGGGCGGGACGTACCTGGGAGCGTGACCGTGGGCGGGGACGTACCTGGGAGTGTGACCGTGGGCGGGACGTACCTGGGAGCGTGACCGTGGGCGGGACGTACCTGGTTAGCGTGACCGTGGGCGGGGACGTACCTGGGAGCGTGACCGTGGCCGGGACGTACCTGGGAGCGTGACCGTGGGCGGGGACGTACCTGGGAGCGTGACCGTGGGCGGGACGTACCTGGGAGCGTGACCGTGGCCGGGACGTACCTGGTTAGCGTGACCGTGGGCGGGGACGTACCTGGGAGCGTGACCGTGGGCGGGACGTACCTGGGAGCGTGACCGTGGGCGGGACGTACCTGGGAGCGTGACCGTGGGCGGGACGTACCTGGGAGCGTGACCGTGGGCGGGACGTACCTGGGAGTGTGACCGTGGGCGGGGACGTACCTGGGAGCGTGACCGTGGGCGGAGACGTACCTTGGAGCGTGACCGTGGGCGGGGACGTACCTGGGAGCGTGACCGTGGGCGGGACATACCTGGGAGTGTGACCGTGGGCGGAGACGTACCTGGGAGCGTGACCGTGGGCGGGACGTACCTGGGAGCGTGACCGTGGGCGGGACGTACCTGGGAGTGTGACCGTGGGCGGGGACGTACCTGGGAGCGTGACCGTGGGCGGGACGTACCTGGGAGCGTGACCGTGGGCGGGACGTACCTGGGAGCGTGTCCGTGGGCGGGACGTACCTGGGAGTGTGACCGTGGGCGGGACGTACCTGGGAGCGTGACCGTGGGCGGGACGTACCTGGGAGCGTGTCCGTGGGCGGGACGTACCTGGGAGCGTGTCCGTGGGCGGGACGTACCTGGGAGCGTGTCCGTGGGCGGGACGTACCTGGGCTTGGCGTTGTCAGCATGGTACACCCCGCGGTGAACTATGGCCCTGTTGACAGATCAGGCAGGTCATTACCTCCCAGGTTAACTACCATGTAGAACACAGGGTGAACACATCGTAAACTACACATAGCAATTACAACCATGCAAAATAAGAATTAACATGCATATATATATATATATATATATATATATATATATGTCGTACCTAATAGCCAGAACGCACTTCTCAGCCTACTATTCAAGGCCCGATTTGCCTAATAAGCCAAGTTTTCATGAATTAATATATTTTCTCTAATTTTTTCTTATGAAATGATAAAGTTACCCATTTCATTATGTAAGAGGTCAATTTTTTTTTATTGGAGTTAAAATTAACGTAGATATATGACAGAACCTAACCAACCCTACCTAACCTAACCTAACCTATCTCTATAGGTTAGGTTAGGTTAGGTAGCCGAAAAAGTTAGGTTAGGTTAGGTAGTCGAAAAGCAATTAATTCATGAAAACTTGGCTTATTAGGCAAATCGGGCCTTGCATAGTAGGCTCAGAAGTGCGTTCTGGCTACTAGGTACGACATATATATATATATATATATATATATATATAGATATAGATATAGATATATACATATATCCACAAAAGTATAGGCAGTAACATTTCATTCACTTGGATCTTGGAAGCGCCATGTTTTATTTAACCGTTGGATGAAGCGGTTTCAATACCTGCAGAAACTTTAATGGGAATGTTTCAAAGTTTCAGTTAGGCAGCAGTTTGGTACTTCTAAAATCAGTCCTTCATGTGGGCATCTACGGTGTGTGGGTGGGGCCACAACAGGTGTCTTGCTCCTGAGGCCCAACATCCAGTCTTCAATGATCCAAGTGCATGATAACGAATATTATTGTACGAGTCATAGATTGATTTCATGCAAGTGTGGAAGGTCAGCCCAGTGTGGCCCTTGTGAGGCTGAGGGCGGGGGAGTGGAGCACAGTGCCGCACTGACAAGCTGGGACGTCATGCTGGGATAGGCTGGGACGTCATGCTGGGACAAGCTGGGACGTCATGCTGGGACAAGCTGGGACGTCATACTGGGATAGGCTGGGACGTCATGCTGGGACAAGCTGGGACGTCATGCTGGGCTTGGTAGGGTGGGGCCGCCGAGTGTGCTGCAGCTCTCAGGGGTTGCATGCTGCTGCTGCAGTTTACACGCTCAACGATGTGTAATAAATGGATGAAATTGCAAGTTGTGAGAGAGAGAAAACCTGGGAGTGCGTCCATACTCCCGCAAGTGCCTCACTCAAGACAAACCTGGGAGTGCGTCCATACTCCCACAAGTGCCTCACTCAAGACAAACCTGGGAGTGCGTCCATACTCCCACAAGTGCCTCACTCAAGACAAACCTGGGAGTGCGTCCATACTCCCACAAGTGCCTCACTCAAGACAAACCTGGGAGTGCGTCCATACTCCCACAAGTGCCTCACTCAAGACAAACCTGGGAGTGCGTCCATACTCCCACAAGTGCCTCACTCAAGACAAACCTGGGAGTGCGTCCATACTCCCACAAGTGCCTCACTCAAGACAAACCTGGGAGTGCGTCCATACTCCCACAAGTGCCTCACTCAAGACAAACCTGGGAGTGCGTCCATACTCCCACAAGTGCCTCACTCAAGACAACACATTCTGGGAGAAGAATCTAGGAAGTAGAACCGGCTTAACAACCCAATATTACAGTGGTTATGAAGTGGTTCTCCAGTGAGAACATCCAGAACCGTGTGCGCACCCTGGGGAAGGGGACCCGAACCCGGGTTTGGGGGACATGGATATGGACAATTAGCAGGATGTGGGTTACTGGGGAAAAGATGGTGCTCATTAGAGAGACAGTCCCACTGTTAAGACATGCCCCCCCCCCCACTGAGATATTACGTGCACCGAATCACTTTGAATGGTCGGGTGACGTTGACGTCCGTGCCCCGACCCCCCAAGACCTTGTACACTAATCTTTCCCTTCCTTCACTGTATTAATATTCCTTCCAAGTACCATATTGTCTTACTGGCTTAGCGTTTTCTCCTGAAAATGTCCTCACCTTACCTCCACCTCTGCCACAGTGGTGCTCCTCCAACACCACCCTCCTCCCTCCACCACAACACTGCCACAGTGGTGCTCCTCCAACACCACCCTCCTCCCTCCACCACAACACTGCCACAGTGGTGCTCCTCCAACACCACCCTCCTCCCTCCACCACAACACTACCACAGGACTCCTCGCCTGGCCTCTGGTGGTGGTGGACGTGTCGTTGAACGCTCCTGGTTTGCCTGCCTGTGACTGTTCGTGTTTGTGTGTGAGGCGTGAGGGCCGTGCCGGCTGAGGAGATGGTGGTGCCTTTGACCCCTGTGAGGTGGACGGAGACGATTGGACTGTGAACTCCGACCTGGCTTCTAACCCGGCTGAAGTGACTGTTTTGGACTTACTGCGTGTTCCCGTTATCTTGAGATGATTTCGGATGATCTCGGGTGATCACGGAGATGATCCCGTGGCGGAGGTCTGTGGAGTGCAGGTGGGTGCTGGGCTGTAGTGAAGTTTGGGTGGGCGGTTGTGTACCGGGGTGCTGTGGAGAAGTATGATGGGCGCTGTTTTCAGCTTCCTGATGGTGGCAGAGGCGTGAAGGTGTCCGACCGTTGTGGTGAGACTACCTACGTTGTGGTGCATGGGGAACCCTTTAAGTTCCCCGACGATCTCATACGTCGCCAGTTTTCCAGGTTTGGGCGGGTGCTGAGTGTCCGTCTGAACGTCATTTCTTCTGCTAAATGGAAAGGTGTGCAAAGTGGTGCCCGCACGTTGGTTATGCGCCTCACGACCCCTGTGCCGCCGTCGGTTGTGCTCTGGGTTATACCGTCCGTGTGCTCTACACGGGCCAACCCCGGACTTGTTTCCGGGGCGGCCTCTCAGGTCACCAGGCTCGGGTTGACAACACGGCAGCTTCGCCCTTATTTATGTGAACCTTTTCCGGGAGGAGGATTTTCCCCCCGTTGGCGGCCCCGGACTCCTATGTCCTGATGTTGTGGGTGGTGCTTCCCAGCTGTCTGGCCCCGGTGGTGGCGCCGGGTTCTGTCGCCCGCCTGGATGGAGGTGTGGGTGTCGAGGTCGTGGTTTGGGCGGCTCCACCCCCACCGCCCCCATCTTTGGTTGAGGAGTCTTCTGAGAGTGTCATTGTGGATGTGCACGCGGAGCGGTCTCCTGTGGTGTATGGGGCTTTGCCCCCGGTTATGGAGGCTGTGGTGTTACATACAGGATCGTGCAGTGCGTGGTGCTGCGCTCCTGCCCGTGGGTGCTGCGCTCCTGCCCGTGGGTGCTGCGCTCCTGCCCGTGGGTGCTGATGTTGTGACTCCTAGGGGGGGGGGGCGGAAAGTTCTGACGACATAGAACCGGTGTCCAAGCGGTCGCGGCGGGGGTCAAGTTCGTCTCCACTTCGTGGTGCGGGATGGACCGACGTGAAGGATTATGGGGACCCCGAGGGTTCCTCTTTGGCTCATGGCGATTGTGGTGCGCTGGGGGATAGTGCGAACCCGGCTTGTGGTGAGGTCGGGGTGGTGGCTGGTGCCCCTGTTGTGGGGGTAGGGGCTGGTGCCCCTGTTGTGGGGGCTGGTGCCCCTGTTGTGGGGGTAGGGGCTGGTGCCCCTGTTGTGGGGGCTGGTGCCCCTGTTGTGGGGGTGGTGGTTGGTGCCTCAGTTGTGGGGGTAGGGGCTGGTGCCCCTGTTGTGGGGGTGGTAGGGGCTGGTACACCTGTTGTGGGGGCTGGTGCAGGGGGGCCATGGTTCCTGATTTTGTGCCCACGCCCGTGTGTTCCGGTTCCCCGGCGTGGGGAATTGTGCTCCATGATGTCGGCGTTGGTGTGGATCGTGACTTGATTCTTGTCTTAAAGAAGGACGCTGCTCGCGTGAGCTCCGTGCCCTTGTCCTCTGATCTGCAGTCCGGTGTGGAGTCGGCCGCTGTGCAGCTGCCCGTACCTCCTGTCCGGCCGGCCCCTGTGCAGCTGTCCGTACCTCCTGTCCGGCCGGCCCCTATGCAGCTGCCCGTACCTCCTGTCCGGCCGGCCCCTGTGCAGCTGCCCGTACCTCCTGTCCGGCCGGCCCCTGTGCAGCTGTCCTCCGTGCACCAGCCTCCTGTGATGACGTCTTCAGTGCTCCCATCACCTGTGAGGCAGCCCTCGGGTTTGCAGGATGTTCCTGTTCCCAGGCGTCGACCCCGTTCCAAGTATGGTGGCGTCTGTTCCACGGAGGAGTGGGCGCTCTGGGAGGCGTATATGGTGAACAAGTCTCCTCACGGGGTTGTTCCCTGACACATGTGAGGATTATTAGGCTCGTCGCCGGGTCACTTATTTGTTCTTTGTTTTGGGTTGATTTTTGGTCTGTGTTTTTTGGTGCTTCGGTGACATTTTTTTATTTCTTTTTAAGGATGTCATGTTGTGTCGTGTTTGCGTTCCTCATTACCCGTGTGTTTGTTGTGTGTTGCAATGTTTGTATTCCTTGCTTTGGTTGTGTGTTTTGTTTGCCACGCCCAGACTAACTGGTGCAGTTTTGTCTTAGTTCTGTACTGAATTTGTGGGTATTCCCATGGAGTCTTTGTTCTGTATTGTTTGTTGTGTTTGTTATGGGGCTTCTGTGTTTTGTATTTTATGTTCTATATATGTTTGTTGTATCCAAATAAAAAAATATTGAGTGGAGGGGTCCAGTAGTGAGGTAGAGGGGTCCAGTAGTGAGTGGAGGGGTCCAGTAGTGAGTGGAGGGGTCCAGTAGTGAGTGGAGGGGTCCAGTAGTGAGTGGAGGGGTCCAGTAGTGAGTGGAGGGGTCCAGTAGTGAGAGGAGGGGTCCAGTAGTGAGTGGAGGGGTCCAGTAGTGAGTGGAGGGGTCCAGTAGTGAGAGGAGGGGTCCAGTAGTGAGGTAGAGGGGTCCAGTAGTGAGAGGAGGGGTCCAGTAGTGAGTGGAGGGGTCCAGTAGTGAGGTAGAGGGGTCCAGTAGTGAGTGGAGGGGTCCAGTAGTGAGAGGAGGGGTCCA